ATATAATTTTTGTTTTTTTTACGGTCTTAAAGAATGTCTGATTATCTGACATTTTATAATCCTGGAGGTCTTCTTTCACCGTTTTAATAATCTATGTGTTGATTTGTATGCGTGTCGTTCAGGTACATCAAGCTTGGTGCAAAACACCCAGAGTCCAACACAGCTGGTATGGACATCTTCGCCAAGTTCTCTGCGTACATCAAGAACTCCAAACCAGACGGAAATGAGGGTGAGCCACTCAGATTTGTCTCTTTACGCTCACACACACACACACACACACAGAGGCAGGCAGGTACACCAGCTTAGAGCTGATGCAGAAATCTTTTGGAGTGTGGAGGTAGCGCTCCGGTTGCGAGGCGACCTCGATAGCCCCGCCCTGATTGGTGGCCCTCAGCCTGAATTGGGAACACAGAGCTTTTGTTCTGCTCCCTCCTCTTCACGTTCCCATCTCACCTGAAGCTTTCCTGCAAACCAAACACSGGCCAGGCTGAGACTGAAATGGTGTTGGTTTAAGCAGCACAAATCCTACAAAAATAAAGGCCGTATCAGTGACTTTACAGATAAGATTAGGTGAAAACAGAGTGGAGTCGGTTATCTTTGAAGTGCAGTCAGATTAAAATAGTTTCGGAACCGTGTTTCTTGACCGTATCTTTTAAAATACATCATATCTTGTTTTAGTTGACTGTTCACCTCTTTGGGGAAACTGAACAATGGTGAGCTCAGGTGAAAAAGTCAAGGCTCAATATTATGGTTCAATATTAAACCGCTGAATCATTCATGGCATATTTCCTAACAATGAGATCTGAGTAAAAAGTTGATAAATGTGGAATGAGGAACATCTGTTTTCYGTAAAATATATATTTTTAAAGGAATGCAGGTTATTGTATTAGACCTTTATCACAAATACAAGTTTTGCTAGATGGATAAAGGTGAAAGGTGTGTTTTCTTTCCTTTTTGTAGTCTTACAATGAATGATACTTGATCAAATGCTGCCCYCTTGTGGTTGAGCAACATAGGTTTATCCACGTGCAGTAAAAAAAATTTTCTGCTGCAGCTCTTGAGCGCGGCTTGCTGAAGACGCTGCAGAAACTGGACGAGTATCTTCGCTCCCCGCTTCCTGATGAAATCGACCACAACAGCATAGAGGACATCAAGGTTTCCAATCGCAAATTCTTGGACGGAGATGAAATGACCCTGGCTGACTGCAACCTGCTCCCCAAACTGCACATTGTTAAGGTAGCGCTGCATAGTCTATATGTGAATGGAAACATTTCTAATTTTGTTCCAGATCTATTTCAGATTATTTTATTTTTTTAACCAGGTCGTGGCCAAGAAGTACCGAGGCTTCGACATCCCCAAAGAGATGACGGCCATCTGGAAGTACCTGAACAATGCTTACACACGCGAAGAGTTCACCAACACCTGCCCCAGTGACAAAGAGATAGAAATCGCCTATGCAGATGTGGCCAAAAGGCTGGTGAAATAAGCTCCTCTGTTCTGTAGAATCTCCCTCCTCTGCAGCTCCCCGCGCCTCCATCTCCTCAGCATCTGGACTGATGTGCTCATTCACGAGAAAGAAAATACTCTGGACCCTTTTCCTTCTCTTCCTCATCTAAAACGAACCCCAGTGCTCGAACGCCTTGTTTCCGGTTTTATGAAGGTCTTTTTGTTGTTGTTGTTGTTGTTGTTGAATCAGCAGAGGTCACCCTTGTTCCACCTTTTCCCATTAATCATTCCTCACTTGCCGATTAATGTGTGAGATTTTGATGTGAAGGAGAAGCAGCTACAGAGTCAACAAGTCTCCCTGATAAGTGACCTTCCAGCTGATGTTCTCTCTGTAAGGGAAGCATGGCAGGCTGTTATTTTGAAGTAGCTTCTTCTTGGATTATTATAAAGGTTGAAAAGCTGTTTTTTATTTCATTGTTTTGGCTGGTTTGGAGACGTGAACAGTGTTGAAGCTTCAGTGTTTCTGCCTTCAGTATTTGACAGGGTTACGTAGAAGCTGAAGTTAATCCAAACCTGAGCACCTTGATGCTTTAAAAAAAAAAGGAAGTCTAAATAATTGTAAGTGCAGTTTCAACTGCCTGGTATACATGCTCTGATAAAAGTAGCTCAGCTCCGTAGAATTGTAGGAAGTTTTTTTTTTTTTTCTCGAACCGGCTGCAAGAAGTATAATCTCAGGATTTATACGAACTGAGATTTATAAAATATTCAACCGTATGTAGCTTAGACAAGTTAATGGCAAGCTTTTTTTTCTGTTCTTCACCACATTGCCATGAAATTTGTCSATTTACACAGAAGTGCATCGCCTCTCGTCAGCTAAAGAGGAAACCTCTTCATTTTTATGCCGACTGTAGCAGAAGAATCTACATCTTGAACCAAAAAGAGGCGCGTCGTTCTGCTCACTGTGGATTTGTGGCAGTAAACAAATACAAACTAGAATGAAGGACACTATACAGCGAGGTCATAAAAGGCAACACTAAAGATATTTATGACTAAAACTGAATGTTGGAAGTAAATATGTTCAAACTTTTCTGTTTTGATTCGTAGACTGCTCTGAGGTAGTGATTGTATGTATTAGATCAAAGAAGGGCTTTAGTTTCAGAAAAACATTTTTTTTTCCAATTTGCCTTTTTTCAGATTTTTTGTTTTGTTACAAGACAAAACTAACTAAAAAAAGAAGGAACTGTAAATATTTTTTCATTGCCCTGATCTCACTATGTAAATTTAATGCATATCATCAGAATCTTCAAGGAAAAATAAAGTTTGTAGCCTGCTTGTGTTGGAGATCTAGATAAACCATTTCCAGTTTGCCTTACTTGTTTTCTCTCTGCAGATGTTTAGCAGGAAGGATTTTTTCAAAGATCATTTCATTGCGACTAATGAGGCGTTTGTACAAAGAAAATATCCAAGGTATTTCATGGCTTTTTTTTTTAACCATATTGACTGAATTTAAATAAACTTCTTATTGGCACTTAAGTTGTTACACATCTGATTATTTGTTTCCAACAACAGATTTGATTCTTTTTTTGGCACTCGTTTTATTTTATTAATCTGATTATTATAAAAAATAATAAGCCACAAATTGATTTAGATTCTTTTCGTTTTAAATCTTTTAACCAAATCGGATGATACTTAAATTCTTGGGAGCAATCAAATCTATTGTTTTTGTTTGTTTGTATATTTGAGGGAGGATTATAGGAGCCCGTGGACCAAAACGTGTTTGTTTGCAGCTCAGTTTGTAAGGAATGTCTCGTGTGGGTGTCCACCCTCTGTGGCTTCCACCTCCGCCCGAAGACACCCACTTACTGTAAGCTCTGCCACGTTTCTCAGCCAAGTCCTTACTGTTCCTGCACACAAACAAGTCTATTCTGCAGGGCTGATTGCAGCCAAAGTTTCACAAGAAAGAAAGAAGTGTGGGGGGGGTGCGGGGGCGAGGAGTTTTGGGATACTTTCCAGATCATTAAAGTGTCGTGTTTCAGCCTCAGACGTTTTCTACACCCTGCTCACTGAGACACTGTCTTCACTTGTAACTCATGGGGAGGAAATCCACCCAGACACACACACACAGACGTGTGTGTGTGTGTGTGTGTGTGTGTGTGTGTGGTACGAAACAAACAACAGGCTGGCTATCATTCAGACCACACAATCATTACAAGCAAAGCGAGTGTAATTGGGTAATGTAGGTGAGGCCATGAGGGCTGAGTGGTGTTTTTCAGACATGTTGACTCTGTGTGTGTGTGTGTGTGTGTGTGTGTGTGTGTGTATGTGTGTGTGTGTGTGTGTGTGTGTCTCAGTAAAAGCATCAGTGACAACAGCAGATGTGACAGCTCCATCAGTGCCAAGCAGGACACACTGACCTCTCTGCTGTCACAAACCACAGAGACACTTGTGAAATGTGCACTTTCATCATGTTTTCTCTTTGTGTGTGTGTGTGTGTGTGTGTGTGTGTGTGTGTG